GAGAAAAAAAAAAAAAAAGAATATTGGAAAGATATGCTGGGCCAGATAAAACATAAAATTACAGTTCAACTCCATAAAATTCGTCTCACCTACTCTTTGAGAGACCAATGACTATACTATATACGCTATATTAAGTTAGAAGATTCTAAAGACACAACTACAAAAATTATAAATTTTAGCGGCATTTTATTTTTAATTTAGCGGCGGTTTATAACTGCCACCAATGCACTTACCAGCATTTATTAAACTGCCGCCTATACAAATGTCGCAAGTAATTTAGTAGCGGTTTCACAAAATCGCTGGAAAAAGTGAAGCTAAATATTTATACCACAATGAATGTATTTTTGCAACATTAATTAGCGGCAGTTCATAACCACATCTAATTATAAATGTAGCGGCAGTTTTTAATCGCTGCAATTAATATATATAAATTTTTTTTTGGCCCACACATAATAATAATAATAATAATAATACTAATAGTAATAATTATATAATTATAATAATATATTAGTATCCCAAATATGCATTACTAAATTTTAAGAAATAATAATAATAATAATAATAATTAGCTCAAACAAGCATCATTATATTAAATTTTGAGAAAAGCAGGGGCTACAATAATAATATATTATATAATAAGGATGTGAGTTTGACAGTATTTGGCTTGGGACCTTGCAAGTACCACTATCATTGTCCCTGGGATTTATCTGTCACTCAGTACGTCATATGCATGCTAAATTAATATTAATTCGATAACAAATAATATTGTGAATGAAATTAAGAAGATACTCCTTTGATTTTTCTACAATTATGACAACAAATTTCTATGGTCAATATTATGATCATGTTTTTAGAAATTAAGGTTTACACAATATCTTTCTCAAATAACAAATTTTTTGAAATTGAATTCGAATTTTCATTTAGCCGCCATTTTTAAAAAAAATATTAAGAATAGTAACTTTGAAAACTTTAAGCGGGAATTTCAATACTATGTCAAGTAAAATCTTTCTCTATTATATAGTAATAGATTTACGAAAAGCAAATCAATATATTTAGTTATTTACACACAAAATTCATAAATATAAATAATTTATGGAGGATTGAAGTTTATCAATATTTAGTATAGCATCCATTATTCTCGGAATAATTTTTTCTTTGATTTGCAATATTAATTTGAATGGAAAAAAATCCGTAATTGTTGGGATATCTCAATTTTTTGTATACGAATCTTTAAATTTGTAACCAATAAAAACAGATTCATATGTGATTAATATTTAAAATGAATTAACTTTTGGTATAAGAATTTTCGAATTTGTTACCATAAGAATCTCCAATTTTTATGAAACATCTCAATTAAATTTGATTCCTAAATATTTACATGTGTTTTTTCTGAATTTCCACTAATAGTAAGTCAAACGGTTTATTTTTTAGTCAAACTTACTATAAAATATTTTTCCAACAACCTCTTTATATTACTATAGATAGATAAGGTAGCTCGTATAATTAAATCATAATAATAGCAATGTAGGGATACCATAATTATGCTATTTATGTATAATGTATTTAATTTATACAATACAACCTTTAAATTCTTCAGCATCACAAACCAAACACCAGTTTATAAGGTATTAGCACATTAATAATTAATATAAAACTCTAAATATTTATATAGGTAGAAATTAGCCAAATTTGATACTTATGAAATTATTGTATAAATAACTTAATAAATTA